CAGTAACCTCTGAAGTACTCTACAGCCGCATGCATGAGCAGCTAGCCAGCTCGCTGATGGTGTTAATGCATCTACTATAAATTGAAGTTTTTCCACAGGCCGTTCTATTTCAATAATCTTCTGAACCACATGGTTGCCATGAGCATCCTCCACACACTCCTGTATTCTCCCCTTCAACTCGCTGATCACAAGAGCATGTTGCTGTGGTAAAGGCACGCACGTCGCCGCAATGGCCCGCTGGATCACTCGGCACCCATACACATGCACTGAGAGTCTAAAGACCTCTCCAACTAGTTGGTCAACTATCAATCCCAATCTAGTCTCGACATCAGCGCTCACCTCAATCATCTTCTGTACGACGTAGTTACCATAACTATCCGTGGACAAGTCCGTGATATGTTCCAACAGTTCGCATACGATCAAGTTAGCCTCGCCCTCGTCAGGTGCTTCCAACCTCAGCTGGACAAAGCGGCACCCCCACTGGTCCGTGGCGAGTTGAAGGACATGTCCCTTAACATCATATATCGTCGTAGCATGCTGCCATAATTCTTGGAGCTCACTCTTCGCCGCTTCTCTCTGTGCCTCCTTCTGCTGCTGCGCTCGTTTCTTTCTCCCTTTCCCTCCTGCTGGCGGCACACTGGTAGACGGAGACTCTGTCACCATCACCAATGGAGGAGTCACCAACGGGGCTTGCCGATGCGGTTTTATAATGCCATCTTCTACCACACTGCATGCCGAGCCGAACAGCACTTCATCAGATCCCGCCGGGGACAAGGACGGTCTCAAACTACTGCTTCTACGAGCAGTTGAAACTGGCTTCGTCGAGGCCTCAGAATTTAACTGCTCTCTGACACGCCTCTGCAGCACCAATGGTATCTCCGTCGTTGGTAGGTACTTGAAAACATCCGCCCAGCTCATGTCTACCTCCGCCCCATCGGACTTATCCCAAGATTCGTCAGGTGAGTCGAGGAGCTCTAACAAAACGTCTGATGCAAGAGGACGACGACGGTCGCTGTCATGTCGGGTAACCATAAAATTATACTAATAACTGATAGCCCCCAGTCTCGAGCTGTTCATACAGCAGCTATGATTGAACCAACACTACGTAAACAGATGGGCCGAAAGTGAATAGCCACGATCCATTTCCAGACATCAGCGCTGAT